CTAGTGAAAGATACAAAGTACATCTACAATGTTCTAGTATACAAGTCAGATTGTGTTAAATTCAATAATGGAAGTGCTAAAAGATCTCAAAAAATAGCACAAATAAATCTAACTAGGACATCGTAAAAGGTTTCACTCTGAGTTTCTTTGGTACTTTAGATTCACAGTAATGTGTCTTCACTTCAAGCTGCCAACAAATAAACATTGAATAAACACTACAAGGTGCCAAGCTCCATGATAGATACCAAGAATATGAGCTGAAAAGATACTAACCCTTCTTAAGTAAGCAAACTAACAATTTCAGTATGACATGACATACGCTCCAATGAGATACACACAGGTGCAACCAGAATGCACAGAAACACCTAGGTCTGCATGAGAGACTCCAAAAAGTCTGCGACCTGGAGGATGAATAGGCATCTTCCAATTAATGGAAAGAAAGAATTGAAAGCAGAAGAAGAGCATGTGGCAAACCCATGAAACTGCATGGTAGGAAAAGCCAATAATTTGACATGGCTGGAGCAGTAAATGAAAAAAAAAAGAGAGAGAGAGAGAGAAAGAGAGAGAAAAGCAGGAAAGGAAGTAAGGCTGATAGGGGAGAGGGCTTTGTACAAAAGAATTTTAGAGTTGATATTGAGATGAACTGCAGAAATGAGGGATTGAACAATTTTCCTTGCAAACTACTTGATTGGCAGAATAGAGAGAAAATTGGAGTCAGAACAATCCAAAAGCAGGGAGATTGCTCAGAAAACCTTTGCAGTATTTGGGGGAAAGCTGAGATTAAGAGATGATGTGAAGGTTAATTCTAGGTGTCAAATGGTTTTGATGAAGGAATGGTGAGAAACCTGGTAAAGCAATCTTTCCAGGTGTGTCCATGAGGGTGTTTCCAGCAGAGATTAGTATGAGAGTCTGAGCGGACTGGGTGTGAAAGACCCACCCTCAGTGTGGGTGGGAACCATCCCATCCGCTGGGGTCCCAGAGAGAACAAAAGACAGAGGAAAGAGGTGAAGCTCTCTCTCGATCCGCTGGAGCTGGGACACACTCTTCTCTCCTGTCCATGGACATCAGAGCACAAGACTCTTCAGCTTTTGGGTTCCAGGATTTACACCAAGGACACCATCAGCTTCCCTGGTTTTGAGGCCTTTGGACTTGGACTGAGCCACGCTACTGGCATCCAGTTTATAGACGGGCTATCATGGGACTTTTCTTCTTAGTCACGTGAGCTAATTCCCCTAATAAATCGCTCTCATATAACTATAATGTATCCTATTGATTCTGTCTCTCTGGAGAACCCAACTAATACAGATGAGATTGATAAACATATTTGAATGGTAGAATCAACAGGAATTGGTGAAGTTTAAGGGAAAAGGAAAATATTTACATAGTAGACAATATAGTAAAATAAGTAAGTTTGGTAGGATTTATAGGTAGGGTGTGGGTAAGGAGTTGAAGATTAATTTCCATTTTAGCTTTAGCATAGAAAAAAATTCAGGTTCACTGAAAGAGTCTCAGAGACTGTCTCCAATCAGCTACCCTTATTTACACTCTTAGTCATACCCTATTCTGCCTTTCTCTTCATAACCAAGTATCTTGAGATCTATCATATGTCAACTCGATCTTGAAGTCAGGCATTACGTAAAATGGAAGTTTTACAGAGGAGCAAAAGACAAAATTCTTAGAGATTAAGAAATTTTCCTAAGTAATAAATAGGTTGGTCAGTATTCAACCTAGACTTTCTGGCTCAAGTGCCATATTTTTTCCACCATATTTAAAACATTCCATCAATATCATCAAATAGAAATGGACTGATGTACTTAATTGAAATGTTCCTAATGTACTTGGTATTCTTCAGATTAACTTCAATTTCTAATTTACTGAGTCTCTTCAATAACAAGGTAATAATAGCTAATTGGCTGTTCCTATTATCTTCCCAAAGCGATATTTCCTCATTCCCATTTCTGCTTTTTCTATTGAATTAGTGCGAACTTCAAAAGTTCTTAAGATGTGGCATATTGAGAGCCCAATAATAAGTATTAAATCTATGAGTACATTGTTTGAACAAAATGTTAATGAAATACTTTGTTCAGTTGCCCAAGAGTACTGTTAAGTAACTATCAATCAACACCTTTTCCGAATATAGACTTCCAAAGACATAGTAGTTAGCCAGTACATTTTTTAAATGAATGCATCTCTCAGAGAAATTCAGGACTCAGCATAGATTTGGGTAGAAACTGGGGAGGCAGAATTAAGTAAGTTAAATGCACAATGGTACTTACTTTATCTTTGGAGAAGCTGAAAAGTTGTTTTCTCTCAGCAAAGAATTGGATGGCTATTACACTGGCTGAGTGATCCCAAAGGACACCCACTGGTTTAGAGACAACATAGGGATTCCAAAGGCAAACTTTATTGTTAATTCCAGCAGTTGCTAATCAGAATCTAAAGAAAAAAATGTTTTTAATAGCATGAATAGCCCACAGCATTTTCTTTTTGAAATGAGATGAACACTAATATACCCTGCCTTGAAGGAAGGAAAATCTTGTCATTGTCCAGCTATCCAGGCTAATAGGACATGAGTTCTGCCAATAGAAAGAGTTGAGTAGAGGGAGTAGAGGGGAAGGGGCTTACATGAGAAGGGGTGGGCATGGGATGAAGGGAAAAATATAGTCCCATTTAAGAGTTGACCAGCAGCTCCACCAGAAGGGGACAGAATCCTTCCTCGTCCCAATGTTTCCCTTCTCCAGCCAACACAGCATAGGAATGTAGACAGTGTTAAAGTTATCCCAGGAGTAAGAAAGAACTAAAACAACATTGAAAGTTCTCAAATTAATTAAAAAGTGTAACAAATTATTTTCATTTCCATGTAAGTAATCAAGTATGTACAAGCAAATACGCAGCACAAATATGCTTTTGACCTACTTTATTGATAGAATAAGGTAGTTTTGAACATGAATTGGTTATATGCAGGGAGCACTTCAAGAGCAGAAAGTATAGTCTTATCCAGGTCTGTGGAAACTCAATATAGCATGACTATGGAGCTGAGCTTATTCACCCTTATTTTTCCAGTACTATGGTAGGTGCAAAGTAGTGATCAGTGTACAAGGCTTGAAATAATTAATCAATCAACTAATTAAATGGTTGATGTTTGAGTACTTGCCAAACTAATTAACCAACTCCTTCAGCCTTCTCTAATATATCTGTAGTTCTCCTTGAAAGTTTGGCATACTCCTGACTACATATTCAACCTATCTTTTACCATGATTATCAATTATTATTGTTGGGAATTTTAGGGACCCAGCCCCTTAGTTAATATCATTATTCTCCATATGAATGATAGCTATCGAATGAGGGTTAATGTGATCCATTCTGTAGGCCATGTATATTCTCTGTAATCACCCTATTAATTTTTCAATGATACATCTACACCTCATTTTTATAATGTTTGAACTAATATCATATATATCCAATTGTTGGATTTCATAATGTCTAAATATTTTATTTAAATAATTAATGCCTGAATACCTTTATATTTCCTCAACTAAAATATACCTGTTTACATTAAAAGACCTCTCTTTCAGTAAATTAAAGCTATGATAATCAGAAAATTTTTAAATATCATTAGAAATAATATTCTGAAAGGCAACTGAAAAACATTCTACATTTTTCAATTCTGTAGTATGCAGCACATGTGTGCAAGTGTGTGTGTATGTTGGCAATGAAAATGATGTGTGTTTTTGGTTGGAGCATCTGGTGATGTTAGGAAATGGCAGAATGGCGGATGCTGCATGAACTTTCTTCCTTCTCTATATTACTTACACCCTCCACCGATTCTAATAAAATGACTCATTAAAGCATTGGGGAGCATTCTCATATTTTCACCCCAATGTAGTTCATATACACAGTGCATCATAATGCACTATTATCAGACATTCTCAGGCAATAAAATGTGAACTGTTCAAGTTGGTCTCTCTGGCAATAAAGAAACAATGTTGTGGAGGTTCCATGAATACAAATATGCACCCCAGACTATTTATGAGGCCCTTATAGTTATTATGATTTATTTTACATCCCAACTAAATTGAGCCAAGAGTGGTAATCAAAAGCATGAATGCCCTGGGCAATGTTGAAGAATGTCATTTTAAGATGATTTTTTATTTTTTTTGTCCATGCTAGCACCATAGTATTTGTATTGCTGGTTCTACTGGAAATGATAGCATCTAAAGATGCATTGAAGGTAACTGATAAAGAATTAAAAAGAGAGAAACAATCTTCAGTTGGTTTTTAGCAAGATATTAGAAAACTAGAGCTGTTTTAGTATGCAAATTAAAAAATTAAGCTCTGATTATGATGATTCAACCCAAAACTTAAAAAATACCTCACTAACCCATTCTTAGACTTTTTATTAAAGAATTTACAGTGAGATTTTATAGCAAATTCTGCATTCAGACTTTTCTCCCATTCTAGGGATACCTTGATTTTTTTTTTAATTGAAACACACAGCAGGAAGCAATCTTAATCAAAATAATCATATGGGATTTTGGAAATGTAAGATGAGTACATTGGCCAAATTCCTGTGTTCTTCCCCCTGGGCCTGGGGTATGCAAACAGGAGTTTACTGAAAGAAAGTGAGCCAAAATGCTGGGTACTGATCAAGCTTTAAAGGAAGAAAATCTGCCAGGCTACGCTCAAAATGGAGGGCAGCACCAGGTGTGGGTGTGGGAGAGCTTATGTAGACTGTAAGGAAGGCTGATGTAATGAGGGAGGGGTTTGGTGCTGGTGTGGAGGAGTTTCTATTTCTCAGAAACCATGAGGTTTCTCATAAGGGAAAGGCTGGTGGCCCTTTTGTGCTGAGTGTATGTAAAATGGTGCTGGTCATGTCCAAGATGGCACCGGTCACATCCAAGATCCATCATTTCCACCTTTTAAGTATAGGGAGAAGGGAAAAGGGGTGGAGGTCTCATTCTTCTGAAGCTACTTCCTGCTGGAGATGGGCAAAGATATGAAAAAAATAAAAGATTTATGTTGGCGAGTAAAACAATTAGGTGGCAGGGTATTGGTTTCATGTGGGGAGGCTGTATTCTTCTGGGGAAGAGTCACTGATTCTGAGGGGCTGATATCCCCCTCCCATGAAGAATTCGGCAACTTTTTGATTGGTGAAGGCCTGCATACATTCCTGTAAGAAACTAGAGAAACACCGAAAGAGGCAGGGACCAAGAAGAAGGATAAGTCCCATCATGGTCAGGGGTCCCACATGTGTTGTCCTGAAGTCCTCCCCCATCGCTATAGTCTAGGTGAGTGGTTTGGGTGAAGTAGAAATGTTTTTGTCAGGGCAGACACTGGACTCCAGCAGAGTCCCCTTTGGAAAGAGCTATCCAGTAGTTTTTACCCCCATAAGAACATGATGTGGCAGTTGTCTGGTCATAGCATGTTGTGGGAACGTATGTCAGGGATGTGAATGTGTCCTGTAGGGCTCCCCCAAAGATTCTGGGTGGCTGACCTGGGAGGTTAGAAAGTGTCCTTCCACCCACCAAGACCTTGGTTATACATTGTGAACAGGGTGTGACATATGTCTCTGTTAGGAAAAGAAGCAAGAGGAAGAGAAAAGGCAAGTGTTCAGGGGCTAAGAGGTTGAGAGGGTGCATAGTAGGAAAAGGGAGTAGAGGGTAATCTCATCGGGGGTGTAATCAGAGAGGGCGCCCTGCCAGGCTAATTCAGTTACCCACTCAAGGATGTCTTCAACACTGGAGGTGGCAGGTTGGGACCAGTCTTGGAGCAGCTCCTGTGTGAAGGACGTGAAGCAGCCTTGCAAGAGTGAGAGGATAATTGCCAGGGGAAAGATCATTCTTCTTCTGGGATTGGAAGAAGAGTGGAGGTCATGGAGATTTTCAATCTTGTGGGTCCTAAAATGAACAAAGTGTAAGGAGATGTTGGGTTGTGGATTGAGCAGAGGGACCCCTCTGGCTTGGTGTTAACAGTTTCTTTGGGTAAAGTCTCAGGTGCTAGTTTTACCAAGGATAAGTGATACCAAGGGGTCTTTTCTAGTACTTTTACTGCTATGTGGGTGGTAAGAAGTACTGTATAAGGCCCTTCCCAACATGGTGAGAGGGGCTTTTGGATTTGTGTTATAATATACACTTTTTGTCCCAGGCTCAGTTTAAAGTCTGAGGGGTTGGTGGGGAAAGGATGAGGTAAGAAGATCCCTAATGAGCAAAAGAGTAGGGAGATACTGGCCTAAAGGCGATGAGCTGGAAGGAAGACATGTGAGAGTGAAGGGTCTACCATACATAAGCTCAAAGGGGCTGAGGCCTGGGGCTTGTGGGGGGCAGCTAGCAGGCGAGTGAGTGCCAAAGGGAGAAGTTGGGTCCACAGAGGTGAATTTCAATGGACAGCTTGGTGTGGTGTGTTTTTATGAGGTGATTGGATTTTTCTACTTTGGCTGATGACTGAGGCCAATATGGTGTACGTAAGTCCAGTTTGATATGTAATGCCCGTGCTGTGAGTTGTGTAATCTTGGAAATGAATGCCAGGCTGTTATCAGACTGGAGGCTGGTGGGGAGGCCAAAATGAGGGATGATTTCTGAGGTGAGAGCATGTGTTACTGCTGTAGCATCCTCTGGAGTGCAGGGAAAGGACTCAACCCAACCTAAAAATGTATCTACTAAGGCTAGAAGATAGTATGTCCTTTTGTGGGGAGGCATGTGAGTAAAGTCAATTTGCCAATGCTGGCCAGGAGTGTATCATCTGGCCTGGTGGGTGGGAAAGGACTGAACTTGGAGGCCACCTTGATTGGAGCAATGAGTACACAAAGGACAATTTTGAGTGATTTGTTTAAGTTACTTGGCCATGTAGGAAGAGTAATATAAAGGCTGAAAAAAGCATAGTAGGGGTTCATAGCCTATATGAACTGAATTATGGAAATCTAAGAGGATTTGCTCAGCTTGTGTGGTAGGTAGGAAGGACATAGCCACCAGAGAGAGTATACCAGTTGTCCTTCCTCTGTGCTCCCAACTGTTGGAGGTGTTGTATTTCTTGAGGTGTGTATTGAAGTAAGGGTGTAGGGACCATGAGAAAGACCTGAGTGAGAGAGGAAGAGTGGGGACCTGGAGATTGAGCAGCCTGTTTTGTGGTTAGATCCACCAGTTTGTTTCCCAGGGCTATGGGGTTGTTGGAGGTTTGGTGTATAACCCCAACGTCTTTTGGGAGTCATGCAGCCTGAAGAGGTATCTTGACAAAATGTCCATTTTATATGGGCCCTCCTTGAGTGGTCATGTATCCTCTCTCCTTCCATATGGACACACAGGATTGTAGGATGTGGTAAGCCTACATAGAGTCAGTGTATACACTGACTCATTTGTCACTTGCCAGAGTAAGAGCACGGGTGAGGGCAATGAGTTCTGCCTGTTGGGAAGTGGTGTTAGGAGAGAGGGGGACAGCCTCAATAGTTTGTGTTAGATTTACTATAGCATAACCTGCCTGGGGGGCAGGCGTGTGGGTGGTGCTCCCATCTATGAACCATGTATGTTGGGGCTGCATAATGGGATGCAGGAAGATGTGTGGAAAGGGATTGAGGAAGAGGTCTAAATCCACCATGCAATTATGTTCTAAGGGTCATGAGTGTTTTGGGATGACAGTGGCTGGATTTAAGGGATGGCAAGGTTTAGAGGAAAATTGGGAATTTTCAATGAAGGTAAGGTGGATAAGTTGTAGGCAGGAAGGGGAGAGAATTGATATGGCCTTATGGCTGAGAAGGTCTTGAAGATGATGGGGGGAACAAATGACTGTTTGTTGTCCAAAGGTTACCTTAGAGCTTTCTTGTGCTAAAGGGCAGCTGCTGCCAATGCCCGTAAACAGGGGGCCCCTCCTCAAGCTGTGGTGTCCAATTGTTTACAAAGGTATGCAACTGGGAAGAAAATATCTCGTGCCTCTGGTCCCAAGACCCAAACTGAAAATCCTTAGGTTTGGATGATGTATAGGATAAAAGGATGAGATAGGTTTGGGAGGGATAGAGCTGGGGCTGCGAGAAGAGAAGCTTTTAATTGCTGGAATGGAGGATGAATAGGCTTTGTGGGATCTAAGGGAATGACAGAATCCCCTTTGGCTGTCTCATAAAGTGGTTTTGCTAGCATGCCAAAGTTGGGAATCCACATGCAGAGATATCCTGCAAGCCCCAGGAAAGAGAGAATTTCACTCTTCGTGGTAGGAGTTGGTAGTTCAGAAATTAAACTCTTGTGATCCACCATTATTTCCCTGGTGTTGGAGGTGAGGTGGATTCCCAAATAGGTGACTGAAGGAGAAGAAATTTGGGCCTTGCTGGGGGACACTCGATACCCTCTGGAGGCCAGGAAATTAAGGAGAGCAACAGTGTGGGCCTGTGAATCCTCATAAGAGGGGCTACAAAGGAGGAGGTCATCCACATATTGTATTAAAGTGCTAGAGGTTGGAGGAAGTTCAGGTAAGTCTTGAGCTAAGGCCTGGCCAAAGAACTGGGGGCTATCCTGAAACCCCTGAGGTAGTACTGTCCAGGTGAGTTGTTGGGAACAATGCATATCAAGATCACTTCCAAGTGAAAGTGGACGGGTTTTAATAAGATGGGTGTAAGGGGGTAGAAAAAAAGGCATCTTTGAGGTCAAGAAATGATTGGGGTTATGGGTAAAATGGCCACATTAATGGCCCTGAGGTTCTGAACTAAACGGTATGAGCCATAAGGCTTTATAACAAGAAGGATGGGGGTATTAAAAGGCAAGTGTGTAGGCCATAAGAGATGAGAAGAAAGGAGTTTGTGTATGATGGGTTTTAATCCTATTAGGTGTTCCACAACTTAACAAGGATAGGGGAATGGTGCATAGCAATGGAGGGAGAAGTGTCCCTTACTATGAAATTAACCTTGTCCGAGGGGGAGGGGAAGGTGGAAGCCTCAGGGGCCAGGTCTGGGGTCAACTGCAACAGGAGTTTTGTAGCTGGAGTTAAAGTGTTTGGGGTAAGAGTAGCTTTGAATTTGAAAAGAATATCCTGTCCCAGTAAGGGGATTGGGCATTGAGGCATTATTAAAAATTTATATGTGAATTGGGTGTGATGTAGGCTGCAGGAAAGGGGTTGAGTGATCCATGGGCAGTATTCTGATCCTGTGACCTATACTTTTGTGATAGAGGATGGGGTTGTTTGCCCTGCATATTTAGAAAGGGTAGAGTAAGTAACCCCTGTATCAATGACAAAAGAGATCAGCTTACCTGCTAGGAGG